TTAAACTTTAATTTAAAAAAAAGTTTCTTTTTTGAGATGGAGTTTTGCTCTTGTTGCCTAGGCTGGAGTGCAATGGCATGATCTCAGTTCACCACAATCTCTGCCCCCCAGGTTCAAGCAATTCTCCTGCCTCATCCTCCTGAGAAGCTGGGATTACAGGCATGCTCCATCACACCTGGCTAATTTTGTATTTTTAGTAGAGATGGGGTTTCTTCATGTTGGTCAGGCAGGTATTGAACTCCTGACCTCAGGTGATCTGCCCACCTTGGCCTCCCAAAGTGATGGGATTACAGGCGTAAGCCACCACACCAGGATGAAATTTTTTTCTTTATTTTGAATTCTGGAGTAAATGTGCAGGATGTGCAGGTTTGTTATATACATGTGCCATGTTGGTTTGCTGCACAGATCAACCCATCACACCTGGGTATTGAGCCCAGCATGCAATAGCCGTTTTTTCTAATGGTCTTTCTCCCCCCGCACTCTAACCCTGACAGGCCTCAGTGTGTGTTGTTCCCCCATCCCTGTGTCCATGTGTACTAATTGTTCAGCACCCACTTATAAGTGAGAACATGTGGTTTTGATTTTTTATTCCTGTATTAGTTTGCTCAGGATAATGGCTTCTAGCTCCTTTTATGACCCTGCAAAAACATGATCTTGTTCTTTTATATGGCTACATAGTATTCCATGATGTACATGTATCACATTTTTTTTATGCAGTCTATTATTGATAGGCGTTTGAGTTGATTCCATGTCTTTGCTATTGTGAATAGTGCTATGATTAACATACACATATGCAAGTATCTTTGTAATAGGATGATTTTAATTTCTCTGGGTAATACCCATTTATGGGATTGCTGAGTCAGATGGTATTTCTGGTTCTAGATCTTTGAAGAATAGCCACACCTTCTTCCACAGTCGTTGAACTAATTTACATTCCCACCAACAGTGTAAAAGTGTTCCTATTTCTCTGCAACCTCACCAGCATCTGTTGTTTCTTGACTTTTTAAGAATTGTCATTCTGACTGGCATGAGATGGCATCTCATTGTGGTTTTGATTTGCATTTCTCTAATGATCAGTGATTTTGAGTTTTTTTCATATGTTTGTTGACCACATAAATATCTTATTTTGAGAAGTGTCTGTTCATGTCCTTTGTCCACTTTTTAATGGGGTTGTTTGGTTTTTTTCCTTGTAAATATGTTTAAGTTCCTTGTAGATTCTGGGTATTAGACCTTTGTCAGATGGATAGATTGCAAAAGTTTTCTCCCATTCTGTAGTTTGCCTGTTCACTCTGATGATTAAACTTGTTACTATTTATATTTACTATTCTGTCAATGTCTTGAAAAGTTGTAGTTATTATTTTTTCAGTTCATCTTTTAATATTACCACATAAGATATATGTAGTGTACATACCACAATTACAGTGTTATAATAGTCTGTGTTCCTCTGTGTACTACCTATTACCAGTGAGTTTTGCACCTTGAAATGACTTTTTCTTGCTAATTTATGTTCTTTTCTTTCAGATTGAAGAATTTTCTTTAGCATTTTTTATAGGTCAGGTCTGGTGTTGATGAATCCTCAGCTTTTGTTTGTCTGGAAAAGTCTTTCTCTTTCATGTTGGAAAAGCAATTTTTCTGTGTATAATATTCTTGATCACAAGTTTTTCTTTTTCACTTTAAATATGTCATGCCACTCTCTCCTGGCACATATGGTTTCCACTGAAAAGTCTGCTGCCATATACATTGGAGATTTTTTGTATTTTATTTGTTTCTTTTCTATTGCTGCTTTTAGTATTTTTTTTTTTATTCTTGCATTTTGAGAGTGTGATTGTTAAATGTCTTGAGGTAGTCTTTGGATGCAATCTGTTTGATGTTGTATAACCTTCTTGTACTTGAATATTAATATCTTTCTCTAGATTTGAGAAGTTCTCTGTTATTATCCCTTTGAGTATACTTTCTACCCCTGTTTCTTTCTCTACCTTCTCTTTGAGGCAAATGACTCTTAGTTTTGCACTTTCGAGGCAATTTTCTAGATCCTGGAAGCAGGATTTTTTTCTATTGTCTCTCCTGACTTTTATTTTCGAATAGCCAGTCTTCAAGCTCGCCAATTCTTTGTTCTGCTTAATCAGTTCTTCTATTTAAAAACTCTGATGCATTCTTTTTTTATGTCAACTGCATTTGATTTCTTCTCAGTTCTATTTACTTACTTCAGTCTCTTTGTTAAATTTATCTGATAAAATTCTGAATTTCTTCTCCATGTTATCTTGGATTCCTTTGAGTTTTCTCAAACATAGCTATTTTGAATTCTGGGTCTGAAAGGTCTCGTATCTGTTTTTCCAGGATTAGTATCTGGTGCCTTATTTAGTTCATTTGGTGAGTTCATGTTTTCCTTATGGTCTTGATGCTTGTGGATGTTCATCGGTGTGTGGGCATTTAAGCGTTAGATATTTATTGTAGTCTTCCCAGTCTGGGCCAGTTTGTACTCATTCTTCTTGGGATGACTTTCCAGGTATTCAAAGGGACTTGGGTTTTGTGATCTACATTTTTGATCACTGCATCCATGTCTGCATAAGGTTGCACCTCAAACCCAGTAAGGCTGTGGCTCTTGCATACTCATAGAGGTATTGCCTTTATGATATCTTGGATTTGATATTCTTGGATTATGTCCAGAAGAATTCTCTCACATACCATGTATAGACTCTTGTTCTCTTTTGTTACTTTCCCCCCAACAAACAGAATGTCTCTCTCTTCCTCTCTCTCTTGCTCTGCTGAACTACCTGGAACTGGGAGAGAGTTGACAGAAGGACCCCCATAACCATCACAACTGCAACATCACTGGGTCAAACCTAAAGCTATTATGTTACTGGGTCTCTCCCAAGCCTGTGATAACCACTGCCTGGCCAATCCTATGTTTTCTCAAGACCCTAGGGCTTTATAGTCAGCCAGGCATGTGTTCTTTCCTTCAGGGTGCCAAGTTTTCCCTAGCCTTGGGTGGGTCGAGATGCTTTCTCGTAGCCAGGGGCTGGAGTCAGAAACTTTAGGAATGTACCTGATGCTCTATTTTGCTGTGGCTGAGCTGGTGCCCAAGACACAAGATAAAGTCCTTCCCATTTTTCCTCCCCTTTCACAAGCATTGGACTTCCTCTCCATTGCCATCCTCACCCCAGGCTCATGGTGAGTACTGCCTGGCTACTGCCAATGTTCACTCAAGGCCCAAAAGACTCTTCAGTAAGCTTGTGGTGAATGCTGCCAGGCTTGGGACTCTCCCTTCAGGGCAGTGGGTTACCTTTTTGTGAAGGGCAGGTCTAGAAATGCTGTCCAAAAGGAAAGGCCTGTAATCAAGGACCCCAAGAACCTGCTTGGTCCTCTACCCTACTGTGGTTAAACTGGTACCTAAGGTGGAAGAGAAAGTCTCCTTTACTCTTTTCTCTCCTTTTCTCAAGCAGGAATTTTTCCTCATAGCCACCACAGGAGGAAATTTGCTAGGTCACACCTGAATCTAGTATGTCTCATTTTAGTCTCACCCGCAGCCCATGGTGAATATTCCCTGGCTATCACTGCTGACTATTCCGGGATAAAGGGCTCCCTATTCAGCAGGTCAAGAATACTCTCAGGACTGGGTTCTTTCCTTCAGAGCAGCATGTTCTTTTCTTGTCCAAGGTGTGTTTACAAATGTCATCCAGGAGCTAAGGCCTGTAATTAGGGCCACAGGACTTTGCCTGGTGCCCTGTCCTGCTGTGGTTGAGCTGATATGCAAGTTGCAAGACAAAGTCTTCATTAGTTTCTGCTTTCTCTTCTCCTCAATTGGAAGGAAAGTCTTTCTGAAGCTGTGAGCTGCACTGTGTGATGTTGCGGGAGGGGTAGGGCAAGCACTCCCTTGTTTGCCCTGGTTGATGTGTCATTAGGACATGTTACGCCCAAGTTCCCTGGCTCTGAGCTCAGGATAACACCAGGACTTGCTCAGGAATTGAAGTCCTTGAGGCCTAGACTGCTTTTCAAGTTTTTTTAGGGCCCTAGAGCACTCGATCCCACAATGTTGAGTCTTTCCTGACCTCAGGTTCTGACCTCTGGAATGGGCAATTCTCCTCTGGTCAAGGCTAGTCTAGGTGCTCCCTCTGTGGGTACCGGCTGAGTTCTGTCTAGTGTTGCCTTCCATTGTTACAGGGCAGCAATATACTCTGTATTCCAGGGCTAAGTTGCACAATCACCGCACTCTCTCTCACCCCAAGTGCACAGATTCTGTTTTCATGCCAGCTGCCCACTGCATGGGTGATGTCAGCAGTTCGAGACTCTTTCCCTCCCACTTAAGTGCCTCGTTCATTGTTGTCAAGTTAGAACTAGGTGCTGTGATTGTTCACGAGTGTTTTGGTTCCTATGAAGGTGCCTTTTTATGTAAACAATTGTTCAATTTGGTGTTTCTGCAGGGAGGACGATTGGAGGAGGCTTCTATTCAGTGATCTTGCTCACCCCCTTCTGCTTTATTTACTTTGGAGTTAATTCATGCCACTGCTACAATTAAATTTGACAATGAGGCCAACAAACATATGAAAAAATGGTCATCATCTCTGGTCATTAGAGAAATGCATATCAAAATCCTGTTGAGATACTATCTCACATCAGTTAGAATGGCGATCATTAAAAAATCTGGAGACAACAGATGTTGGAGAGGATGTGGAGAAATAGGAACACTTTTACACTGTTGGTGGGAGTGTAAATTAGTTCAAACATTGTGGAAGACAGTGTGGCGATTCCTCAAAGACCTAGAAATAGAAATTCCATTTGACCCAGCAATCCCATTGCTGGGTATATATCCAAAGGACTATAAATCGTTCTACTATAAGGACACATTTAAACGTATGTTCATTGCGGCACTGTTTACAATAGCAAAGACGTGGAACCAACCCAAATGCCCATAAATGATAGAATGAACAAAAAAATGTGGCCTATATACACCATGGAATACTATGCAGCCATAAAAAACAATGAGTTTGTGTCCTTTTTAGGGACATGGACAAATCTGGAAACCATCATTCTCAGCAAACTGACACAAGAACAGAAAATCAAACACCACATGTGCTCACTCTTATTCAGGTATGGAACAATGAGAACACATGGACACAGGGAGGGTAGCATCACACACTGGGGTCTGTTGGAGGTGGCTAGGGGTGGGACAGCTAGGGGAGGTTGGGGAGGGATAACATGGGGAGAAATGCCAGATATAGGTGATGAGGGAATGGAGGCAGCAAACCGTATTGCCATGTATGTACCTATGCAACAGTCCTGCATTATCTGCACATGTACCCCAGAACCTAAAGTACAATACAAATAAATAAATAAATAAATAAATAAAGTATATTCAAAAGTAAAAAAAAAATCATCTCTTGTGCCAGAATTTTCAGTGCTTTGGCTGCATAATTTTTGCCTTTGGTCAACTGTATGGGAAAAAGTCTAAGTGCTGAAGTAATTATTTCTCCTCAGGTTTCCATCAGATTAGTAAATAAGTAAAGATTATTTTTCTTCCACTTTACCCCTTTCTCTCTCTCCCCAGTATATTTGTAACGAACTCCACCACAAACATTTGAACTGTGGCAACACAGATTTTGCCCTAGCTTCAAGGTTGTTCTTTTTAAAATAGCATTATGGCTTTCAAAATTTCATAATGGTGCTTTAGGTGAACTAAAACAATGATATCTAGGTAGAAGGGTCATGGAGTAAAACATTAATCTTTTTTGTTATTAATGTCAATTGGTATTAAGAAAGCTTGAGCACAATGCTGAAAGTCCCTTCTCCACTGTATAGAAATTGACTTTTAGTCTGTTTCACTTTTATCACCATCAAACATATTGCAAGTAAAATATTAGAAGCATATGGATAGAAGGGATCACAGGAGGTTGTCTTGTCTATCCATGTAAGGACTATTTGTGAACTGCCCCAGAAATATTTTTATCAATTTTCTCTTAGTAAATTATCCAAGGAAAGAAATATACAACCTCCCTTGGTAATATGCTGTGGCAATACCTTCTATTTCCTGTTGTCCTAGACTCTAGGACTAAGATTGCAGAAATCTGACTGACCACTGAAGGATTTCTTTTCACCTGTTTTTTGTGGTGAAGAGGGAGATCAGATTCTTGAAACTGTGGAAGCAGAGGAAATCAAGCACCACACAACACATGGAGAGCCAGTAGTTATCAATTTAATATGTATTTCCTAAGTACCCACCGATAAAATATTCAGCTCTGTAGAGGACAAGGCTTTAGTCTGAAAGAGCTTACAGTATATTTTGTTTTGAAAAGCTTAGAATAAGTGAGATGATTTTTTTTTTCTTTTCCACCTCTTTTTAGGAAGCATTGTGTGTATTGCTCCTGCTGTGGATCAATACACTGTAAAATCATGTAATAAGGGGAATATTCTTATCTGAAACTCGAGACTTACTGAATTAAAACTATTTTTAAATCAGTGTTTTAAATGTTCTTTTTTTTTTAATTTTTTTTTATTTGAGACAGAGTCACACTCTATGCCCAGGCTAGAGTGCAGTGGTGCAATCACAGCTCACTGCAGTCTCCAACGTCTCGGTTCTAGCCATCTTCCCATCTTAGCCTCCCTAGTATCAACCCTGACTGATTAAAAAATTATTTTTGTAGAAACAGGGTCTTGCTATGTTGCCCAGGATGGTTGGTCTTGAATTCCTGTCCTCAAGTGATCCTCAAGTCTTGGCCTCCCAAAGTGTTGAGATTAGAGGTATGATTCACTGCACCTGGCCAATTTCTTTAATAAGCAATTCCCTAAAGCTCAAGTATTGGGAGTTGTTCATTCATGATAGTTGATGGTGTTATAAATGAAAAAATAATTACATGACATGGCTAATGTAATAACTAAGGCAGTACCTTTAAAAGGTTCAATTTCAGAAAAAATTTTGTTATAAAAGTTTAAATTGTACTGCTTGCTGTTGTGGAAGAAACATTGCTGTTTTAGAACCCTGTACTGAATGATGTGACTTTTTAATGCAGTTAAATGCTAATTTGTTAGAAATCTTTGTCATTATCAGTATGCGAATTAACCAGGAAATCCTGTATTGGGGAGTAAAGGGCCTTAGGGAAACGGGTTAACCTCGGTTTCATCCCATTCCCCAACCCCAGTCACCTTGTAAGATAGAAATGACCTTAACTCTACTTCCTAGGAATGTTAATTAGATTTTTAAAATGTGATTAATAGCTAGTACTTTGAATTTATTTGAAAGAAATTACTTTTTTCATTAGCAGCCCAAAATAAATTTTAAAACCCCAATACGACTACTTTAAAATACAATTTATGAGTCAGGAAGACAAGCTGAGGTACAGGTCATGTGCTTAACCCAAAACCATATAATTGCAGGCAATACTAGGAGTGAATTATGAACAAATACTAGAAGGCATCATGACAGGTCACAATTACCCTGTGAAATTAAGATAGTTAACTACATTGTATAGAAACAGTTTATTTTGAGCCTCACTTATGATTTCATTGCATTTTTCTTTAACTACATTTTTTCACATAGTATAATAAATGGATTATGAATCATCCTTTGTTCAATCATTTTTTTGTTTTTGTCAATAGTATTTTTCTTTTTCCTCAACTTTGGAGTTGGGAACACTTTTTTCTCCCCAAGTCACTAGAGATACCATGAAGGAGGTGTTATTTCTTCTTGAAGTTTGCTGATTAAAAGCTGACTCAACCTCAGTGTTTTCTAAAAAAAAAGGTGATGGATCAGGTAATTGCTTGATGAATGATATGCAAAACTAAGGTGGCTTTCTCATAAAAACCCTGGACAAGTAGGGACTATATTTCACTCAACACCCAGGCCTTCTTTCAAGCCTTTCAAACCTGAAGTAAGTTCTGCCGTCTTCAGCACCATTTTTTTTTTAAACCGGCTCTTTAACCATGGAGAAGCATAAATTTTATCTTTCAACAAAAATAAAATTTGATAGGATCTTCAGTATTAGGGGAATAAGTGTTTTAGCATAGCATAGATCAGGAGATTATTTTCTTTTTATTTTTTATAATTTAGGGGGTACAAATGCAGTTTTGTTACATGGATATATGACATAGTGCACTCATCACCTAAATAGTGTACTTTATACCCAATAGATAAATTTTCATCTCTCACTCTCCTTCCACTCTCTCATCTTTAAGAGTCTCCATTGCCTATTGTTTAACTCTGCATGTCTATGTGTACTCATTGTTCGTCTCTCATTTATAAATGGAAACATGCAGTATTTGTCTTTCTGTTTCTGTATTAACTCAGCTAGGATAATGGGAAGTTGCATCATTCTTTTTATGGCTAAGTAGTATTCCATGGTGTATATTTCTATCACAGTTTCTTTATCCAGTTATCTGCTGACGAGCACAGGTTGATTCTGTGACTTGGCTATTGTGAATAACACAATAGCTACATCCAATTAATTTTATTTAGTAAAGAAACAATGATTCTAGTTGAACTGTTAACCAATATTATGGGTCACTACTAATTATATTGTAAATAAATCCTAGGCCTCAGAAAGAAGAATGATGCTATACCTTTATCTAAGTGTTGGCAGTAAATTATTTTTTCTTCTGAAGAATGAAGTTTCTTTTTACTTTACATAGCTTTCATTTTCTTGGTGAGAACATTTAACATCTACTCTCCTACCATTTTTCAAGAATACAGTACATCTTCATTAACTGTAATCACCATGCTATACAATAGATCTCTTAAAGTTATTCCTCCTATCTAATTGTAGTTTTGCATCCTTTGACCAACAACTACCCAACCACTTCCCATTGACACCTCTAAAAATTATTCAGATAGGTTGTTCCATTGTTAGACAACTCTAGTTAGTACATGCAATTTAAAATTAAACCAAAATGTGGTTCTGTCTAACATCTACCCAGTGGCTTGGATTTTTGTATTGTGAAGTAAATCCTCTCCTTGCTATTAGAACCCTTCACCTATGAAAAGACCCCTGTCATGTCTCTTTGCAGTTTTCTGAAAACAGCTTTTGATTATCTGTCTAAAGACTGAATATTCCTAGTTCTTTCAAACATTCTATTATGATGCATATATTTTATGCCCTTTACCATCTTGGCTGCCAGCTTCTAATTTGACCCATCCTAATATTTTTAAAGTATTTAATCCAAAAGCCTTCAGTGTACATCTTCCATGTAGTCTTGAATGTGTGTGTGTGTGTGTAATATATATAGATATATATTATATATAACATTTATGTATATGTAAATATACATACATAAATTTATAAAGGTTACATATACATGTAAATATACATAGATAAATTTATATATCATATATACATAAATTCATATGTACATATAAGCGTATATGTAAACACAAATATACATATATATTTATATATATAAATTTATATATTTATACATGTATCTATTAAAACAAGAGGTATGCTTGGATTTTTCTTATGGCTGAGACTCTGATGATAATGATGCCTAGAGTAAATGTGATAGAAGGAAGAGCTGTGCTTCTGATTCATAGTTAAGTGGAAAATGATTTTCAAATCCCTTCCTTTCTATTGCGAAAGCTTGGGAAGAAGTATTTTTGTGATCAATGGCACACTCTGACTACATAAACTGGGTGAATTCATTGGATAAATTTGCACAGGCGAGTACTTGTGCACAGTCACAGTGAATTATTAGGGTCAATTGTGGTAGATAGAAAAATGGCCTCCTAGAGTTGTTCACATCCTAATCCCTAGAACCTGTGAATGTGGTACCTTAAATGGCAAAAGAGATTTTGAAGATGTGATTAAATTAATGATTTCAAAAAGGTAGATTGTCTTGGAATATTTGGAAGAGTCCAACGTCATCACAAATTTCATTATAAAGTGAAAGATGGAGACAGGAAAATCAGTATCAGAGTGATACCAAATAGGAATGATTCTATAGATATTTCTGGCTTGAAGATGGAGGAAGGGACCATGAGCCCAGGAATGCAGACAGCCTCTAGAAAGTGGAAAAAAGAAAGAAAAAAATGATTCTCTCCTAGAGCCTCCAGAACAGAACTGAGCGCTGTCAACACCTTGATTTTAGCCCCAATAAGACACATA